TTCTGGGCCGGTGTCTCGGTGCTGCGCGTGGCACGTGGCTCCACCTCCAGCGTTCCGAAGCGATTAGTACGTTTTCCGGCGTTCCGAAGCGATTTTGTTTCAGCGTTCTGAAGCGATGGTTTTGCCAGCGTTCAGGAGCGACGCACTTACCTTCCTCCCTTGCTTCCATCGGAACGGATCTTGGATTTGTCTTCCTGCCAGTAAAGTACCTTGTCCTTCACCTGAAGAGGCTTAGAACTCATTCGGAGATTTTGAGCAAGGTCTCGTCGGATGTCTTCGGATTGACGTGCTTCTTGGAATGCTTGCTTAGACAGCTGCTTGATCGGCTGTCAGCTCTTCCTCATTCCTGTCAATCGTCAACTGAGTTGGTGTTGCGACATCGAGTTGGATGAGATCTGCTGGTCGTCTTCCGAATGCGAGTTCCAATGGTGTTACACCCCCGTAGGTGACAGTCTGATTCCTGACAGTTGCAGCTGCCTTCACCAGCTGTCTGTATGTCACTTTCTTCAGTGTTGCAGGTGCTGCGCCCAAGATCTTACTTAGCATGATCTTAAGTTGTGCCTTCAGGAGTCGAACTGCAGCTTCAGCTCGATTTGGCCATGGTGTGTTCGGTCCCAAGGATATCGGTGTGATGTCAAGGGATTGATAGAAATGTTCCCATGTCTCCGTCATGAAGGCTTGATCTGCGACAACTGATTTGGGCTGCAAGTGGTACTGGTCAAAATAGTTCCTGAGGACAGTGATGTTCTCGACTTCTTGCGTAGTGGTCACTGCCTCTGCAGTGAGCAATGTTGTTGCTCCATCCAGAATGACAAAACAATGATGTGTTCTCCTGTTCCAAGAGGAACTTGACAGTGATCAATGAATGTCATGTCACCGAAGGTGTCCGCTCTAAGTCCACTCGTCTTGCTTCGTGATGGTGATGGTTTTGCCGCTTGGCAAACTTCACATTCACTTCGGATTTTGTCAAATAGATCGATTGTTGATTTTGGCAAGTGAAGTGAACGAGTTCTGAATCGAAATTGATCTGTGTCATGTGATGATGCTGGAGGTGGAGCTTCTTCAACTCTTCGGGATTTGACAATCGCTTGTGGATTCTGCCTAGGGCAATCGGAAGCGATGTTGGTTCACGTGAGGATGGCGCGGAAGGATCTGGCTCAATGGTCGACCAGCCCTTCTTGTCGATGATCCTGTCTGCTGCCGATCCGGAACCTGCTTCTTCGTCCTTAAGCGAATTGTCCGCGAAGGTGAAAATGGTCTTACCTTTCCACAGGTTCATCATTGGTTTGTTTGCCTGGGATGTAAGTCTCCAATTGTCTTCTAGGATGTCTGGATCTCCACCTTCGGACGCATCTATGATTTCCGTGGTACGCTCTCGGCTGATGTTATCAGGATTGATTGGACATTGGCTCCATTTGGTGTGAACAGCGCCTTGCGAGGCGTAATGTGCACACAGATGAGCTGCTTGTTCTTCTTGTCAAGGATCCAATGGTCCTGCTTTTGAGACCCAATGATTTTAGGGGTTGCTAGGTCCTCCTTCGTCTCGGATGATTTGGATGCACATTTCTCCATGTGCTTTCACTCTTGCAACTCCAGCGAGGTCGACGAGTGCATGTCCTGTACCGGATACTGGAACTGCTTGACGGTTCATGCCAAAAGCCTTGCGTGTGATCTTGTCACATTGAGGTGTGTGCTCGATGGTCATGTAGAGGTTCCTCATCTGACTGATGCTGAGGAGGATCGGTACAGTTCCTTGTTCAAGGACGTCGATGTTGGTACTGCATGGAGGAGTTGTGTGATATCGGAGATGCAAGGTCCAATTTACCTTGGCTGTTTCTCCGTTTGCAATAGTGAACTTGGTCTCGGCCGGGATGTACTGATAGGAGATGAGGTCCTTCATGGGTTCGACGGCCTGAGTAAAACGCTGGATTGCATGCCAGCTGCCCATGGATCTGGTACATCCGTTGTCCAGGATCGCATAGGTCGGATTGTGCTGAGGGTTGATGACAGGCGCCATCAGCTTTGTTGCCAAAAGGCTGTGATCTGTTGTTACGGACAAATTGTGTTCTGAAACTGTATCTGATTGGATCAGCTTCCCGTGGATGGCTTCTTTCTCATGATGCTCATATGCGTCATGGAATGCCATTAGCGCTTGTCCTGTGCTGGATGTCTCATGGGATGAGTACCAGCCTTGTTCGTTCCATGTCCATGATTGATCCCAGTCTTGGTCTGTCCAACCGGCATAGGCAGGGTCTTGAAGTTCAGCAACTTGCTGCGTGGCAGGATGCTCCTCCGGCTTCTCTGCGATGAACGTCTTGGATTTTCCCTTGTCATGTCCGCCTTTTCCTTTGCCACTCTCATAGGATGGATAACCCTTGTTTCCATCATAGGGATATTGGAATTTGGATTTTCCTTTCTTTCCCTTCTTTCCTCTGCGTTTTCCCCAATATGCCTGGTCGTAGGGATCATCATTTTCATTGGCCATATTGGCCTTCCCGCCAGAACCGCCTTTTCGAAAGGGTTTGAAGCCACCTCGTTGGTGACTGCCCTTTTTGTTTCCTGATTTTCCTTTTCCTTTTCTCTTTTTGAATCTGAAATTCCGCCCTGACACTTTTCTTGCTATGAACGCATCGTTCTCTTCGAGGACCCAGAATGTCTCTTCATCGTTGTTTGACATGAATCCTTCAAGCCCATCTTCATCTTCAACCCAAAAGCCTTCTTCTCCTTCGTCTTCGCCTTGTTCGAGGATGAAGAATGTGTTGCTTCGGTTGCCTCCTTGAGGTCGGATGGATGGATCTTGGATGGATGTCCTTGTCGTGATGAAGAGTTCATGGTAATGCGTCTTCAGCATCTCATAGGAGTAGTGCTCTAGTGAAATGTTTCTCAGTGACATAGCACTGGTCAGTCTTTCTCTCTGCTGATCTGACAAAAAACTGCGCAATGAGATTATCCCCGAAGGGAAATGCGTCCCGCTGTCTGTCCTGCATTCCCGTGATATACTGTCTGAGGACTGTTGGATCATTCTCATTTAGCAGGACTGGAAGCGGTGCTCGAGTACCGGCTGCTTGCTGATGTGGAGCAATTGTTCTGGCATTTGCGTCCTGACGGACTGTCGAAATGATGGGGACTGTGCCGTGAAGACGGGCATCAAGTCCATCCATGCTGCCTTCAATCTCATGAGAAGGATTTCGAATTTTGAGGTAAAAATGAGGAACTCTTGGCTCTGCCTCCTTGTACATGTAAGCATCTCCTGTGAGTCTGCTTTTGAGTAGTGGTCCTCTCTTGGGTGCTTCCACCGTGGTGATTGTCACCCAGTCGTCCACGAGTTCTTCATACCTGAAGTTGAGTGTTTCCTCCGTATAGCCTGATGATTTGGCCATACTTGAATAGGCCTCCATGAAGCCTTCTCCATCGGATGACATTTTTCCTTGGATCTCTGCGGAAAACCTGCTCCGCTACCACAAATTGAGGCCCACTGCCGGGGGTGCCTATCCCAGAAGGGAACTGGTACCCTGTGGTAGTAGAGGTCGTTTATGTGGTCCCCGGATCTATTCCGGAGAGAGTCCAATATGCCAGTATGGATGATTGGAGGATGGATTGTCCCTGGTGGATTGTCCTGTGGTATAATCCTGTGAGCGGCCTGCAAAGGTTCCTTTGTCACGCAATCATGAGTATTGCTATGGTACAGAAGGGCCTTGAGCCAAATGGTTGCAGGCGATCAACATTGGTCAAAAACAGACACATGGGGTCCCCCCCGCACTGCGCTAAACGTAGTCTTCGGGACCGGTCTCGCAAAACAGGGGTCCCAGGCTCGAATCCCCCTGCCGGCTCTCTGTGCTGGTTTGGGTTTCCTGCCTCCGTTTGCCGAAAATCTGGAAAAACTCTGCGTTTTTTGACGTCCTCTTTGCGAAAACGCTTGCAAAACCTTGCTTTCTTTGCGGGAAATACTGGCGAGCAAAGGGGAAATGCAAGGAAGTGCAAGGAAATGAGGGGATGAAATAGGAAGTCGACATGACAGCAAAGCAAGGGGAAAAGAAAGGGAAGGGAAACAAAGGGGAACTGAAAGGGACATGAAAGGGACAGAAATGAAAACAAGGGGAGTGCAGGGGGAATGAAAGGGAAACAAAGCACAAGGAAACCAATCGGCACGACGGGAGATGTAGGGAAATGACTGGCAACGAAAGAAGGGACATATGTGGAAAATGAAGCGGACAGACACATCATGGGAAACGTGACAAGGACATGAAGGGGAAATCAAGGGGAAAGCCAGTAGTAAGCAGACAGTTCAGGGTCGTGAAGGGGCGAGAGAGAGAGAGAGACAGAGACAGAGCCAGAGTCAGAGAAAGAGACAGAGACAGACAGAGAGAGAGAGAGAGAGACACAGAAAGACAGAGAGAGCGAGAGAGAGAGAGACAGAGAGAAAAGAGGGAGAAAGAAGAGATAGACTAGGTCCTCCAGTAGAGAGGATAGAATAAGGGTACCCTTCTTTCTGTAGAGGGGCGTGGACAGGAAGGAGACAGGGAGACAAAAAGAGACAGAGAAACAGAGAGAGAGAGAGAGACAGAGAGAGACAGAGAGAGACAGAGAGAGACAGAGAGAGACAGAGAGAGAGAGAGAGAGAAAGAGAGAGAGAGATACTTAGAGAGAGATACTTAGAGAGAGATACTTAGAGAGAGACAGAGAGAGGGAGGCTTTGTGAAGAAACAAACATGGAGAGACTGCTCTTGCTTCAAGTACCTTTTGGTTCAAGAGCCTGTGATTGAATCAAGGAACAAATTATTCTACACTGTCGGGGGAGGGGGGGAGGGGTTACGGGTCTAAAAAACAGAGCATCCCCTTAAATTGTTCACCCAATCGATTCAACCGAAACTTGGCAAACGGAAACCCTGATAAAAGGAGAGGGAAACCGTTTACAAATCTCCTCACCAAAACCATGACCCCCAAAAGCATCCCAAAGGACGCCGCTTTTCTCTTCCTGCCCCTTCCAACGGCCGCTTCGCCTCTGCCCCTCTCCTCGCTCTCCTGAAGTTTCCAGTCGCGGCTCGGTGTTTTTCGCCTCTCTTTGGGGCAAATCCAGGCAAGCCCTGTTCGGAGCTGAGCCCATTTCGGCCGTGTCGGCACCTGAAACGACTTTTTGTATCCAACGCCACCAACATGGATTCGTGCTGCTATGCCAAAAAAATAGATCCCCAAATCAGACACAGCGATGTGCAAAACAGCAAACATGGTTGTGGAAAATAATTGGCCAAGTCGGTGATACTAAAGTGGTTCTCTCACATCCCCCACAAGTCTTTAATTTTGAAAGGCATCTCCCCACAGAATCGTGGAAAGTCAATTTTCTGCAAAGGCAAAAAAAACTATTCCCTTATCACTTTGAAGGCAGCATTCTCTTCTTCAAAGGGGATTCCCTAGCAGCGAAAAATATCGTCACCATGGAGATGACAATACATGGGTGTGGCCACGTTTTCCTGGAAAACTTATGGCTTTCAGCCGGTTTCTCAAGCGCAAAACAACAAGGAGAAGTCCAACACTTTGGGAAACACTTTGGGGACGGAGCGCACATTTGTTGCACAAAGCGCGCGTATTTGTGACCTCTGAAGTGTCCGGTGTCCTGCACCCGGGCGACGCCCCTGCAAAAAGTTTATAATGTTTTGGGGGGGTTAGTGGAAAACGCAACTTAATTTTCCAAAAAGTTAAAGTCTAAAGATCCAACCCAATAGCAGTCAAGGTTAACACCTCTCAGTTGTTCAGTGACCCTGGAAAAAAAGGGAGCCCTTTTTGGGTGTTTGGCCATTTTTAGTGGGGCCACCGAAAAAAAGGGCAATGGGGCCACGAAAAACAAGGGCAAAGGGTGCCAGTGAACAACTGAGACCTGCACCCAAGGCAAAATGCCTGCTCCCACTCCAGGAGTGCGAACTGGGCTAAACATGAACAATCTACTGATGAGGCTTGTGTTTGATTACGAGCACCGCAAATCTCTGCTTCACCAACTCGTACGGATTGGCTGGAGCAAACCTCCTGCAGTTTTTGCCACGCGGGTTAATTACGGGGTATCTAGCAGGCCCGCTGGGTGGGGCGGGCAAAAGGCGGAAGCATGTCCGGAGCTACCCGTGGTGAACTACGCTGAGACCGAACTTGAAACAGACCATCTGCCATTTGTCTTTCTTCCGTCCTTGAGAACTTAGACAAAAACCCGGCAGTCACGCTTTCCTTCCGGACAGGGATTCTTCCCACCCCGCACTCGAACATTGGTCCCTCACTTTGATGTTTGGGGTTGCACCTACGGTTTGCAAAGTCAAGAGATGACACAACAGCTATCCTATTTCTTGTCTCACTTATCAAGGCTATGAACCTAGGACTTGGCACAGAGCCTTCGAGGCTTCCCCTCTGCCCATTCTACATGCCTCTCCCAACTAAGCGATTTTCTGTAGAAGACTAAGGTTCGCAAACCCTCACAACCCGAAAAACCCAAACAACCCCAATTCTTGTGGGCAACACCTATGTTTTGTGGGTAAGGGGGTTTGCAAAGAACCACCCCAACGTCAGATCTTGGAAGGCTTGGCCGATGGCCTGTGCGGGCGCCGGCCCGCCGCCGCCGGCCTGGCAACGAAAAGTGGGAGCCAGAATGGGATTGGTTGAAGGGGCACCAAGGAAGGGTTCTTAGTTTCTCCTGGGTTTGGGGGTTTCTCGGGTGTTTGGAGTTTCATTGATTTTTGGGGTGTCTTGGGTGTCTTGGGTTTTTGGGGTGTCTGGGATTTTTGGGGTTTCTTTGGGTTTGGGGGTTTCTTGGAATTGGGAGGGGTTCTCAGGGATTTAGGGGTTCTTGTGGTTTTGGGGGGTGCCTTGTTTGGGGTTTGTAAGGTTTTTGGGGGTTCTTGGGCGTTTGGGGTTTGATTGATTTGTTGGCTTTCTTTGGGGTTTTGGGGTTCTCGTGGTTTTTGGAGTTTCTTGCTTTTTTGGGGTTCCCAAACTGTGAGAAGCATGCAAAAGCTTTCCGCCTGCCCCCGGGCACAGGAGACGTGCGATGTGCCACGCCGCTCCAATTCAGATCTGCGGCACAGGCATGACTTCCGCGTGCCGCGCTGAGCGGGCTTGCGGCCCGCTAGTCGCCCGCTCCTCCCAATTAGGCATCAGAGGGAGACCCAACAAATGGTGGTTGTCCATTTGGCTTCCCTTTAAACCAACTTTAAAAGGGTACACTCAAAATGGACACTCCCATCTTCTCAACAACAGGGGTTAAGCCAAAGCCATGAATCAAAACGGATATCCGCTATGGTCGTGGGACTGGCCCCTAACCCTCGCCTTTGCATGTCCCCCAAAATAATTTCCTGGATAGTGTTCGGGCTGCTTCCTGGACAATCCCCCCCCCAGTTATGCTACGTAGGGGTCCTCCTGACGTGCTGCACTTCCCCTTTCGGAAGATTTGACCATGACCTCTGGCACTTCTTGGTTGAAGATGGCTTAAAGTGTCAAACGACCGCATTTTCAACACAAGACGCCCAAGCAAATCTCCACATCCTCAGTTGGCAATAAGACTTCTGAGCATCATGGACGAGATTCTTCATCCCCAGGTGAGCTTGCTTGGCATAATCTGCGAGAAATGTCCGTCAAACACCGTTCTATCTGTGGCACTGTGGCAAGTTCAGAGCTCATGGGTCTCACTTGGATGGCTTGCAAATCGGCGGAAGGGTTTATTCCTGATGCCCAACAGCCGAGGCTCCCTCGTTGAAAAGATGTGTGTGTGTGTGTGTGTGTGTGTGCCGCAACAACGGGTTGGGGTGGGTTTGGGGTTTGGTCGGCTCAGGATGGGATTCAATCGCCTGGGATCTGCCAAGTCTTTTGATGGCTACGGCGCAGGCCCTGCCTCCACGCGCTCTTCCCGCGCCCGATCCAGACCTCGACCCCGAAAGAATTGCGCCCGCAGCTACTTGCAGGGCGATCGAACACTTAGGGTTTTGGCCAACTCGCTTGAACACCATGGTTCGTTTTCTTGAACCAATCTGTCCCATTGCTGGTACTTAGTAAGAAGCGGTCTTTTCACCCTTGAAAAATTATGAGTGGGTCAGAAGCCCTCCAAGCGAGTACCTGATGTTAAAAACTGTTTGCAGGTTCCCGGGTTGCTCAAAGTTAGACACTTGGCTTCTGCAAATTCGAAACCACTGGCAAGTGTACCCAAATCTCTTGACTTGTGGTTTGGTGACTTTCTGAACATACCGTTTACGGGCTGAGAGTGCAACTATGGGTGCAACAAGCGGAGTGACGATGGGAGTGACAATCCTTTTAAACAATGCGTGTGCCAAATGCAGAACAGTTGTGACTCTACAGAGAAAAAAGGTTGCCTCCCCGAAAAGAATACGGTGTTGCAGTATTCGCAAGCAATGGCCCAAAGGTGATGCGCTCCTGCGCCACTATACTTCACCCTTTTCCACTTTTCGGCTCATGTCTGCTCAGCTTGAGCACAGCCTCCAGGTACATCTCGCACCAAATTAAGGCGCCCCTATGTAAGGGACATTGAGTTCGCTTGGTCCCCGGGTAACCTTGCGACAACTCGCCCACACCCATGCGCCAGCACAAATGTCGACGCCGAACAGCGGCAGAAGAACACGACATTTCGAAGGGGCCAAGCCGCAGCAACCAGGAGCAAAGAACATATCCTCTCTATATGGCTGTAAGTCGAATTGGGCCCGTTTTCGCTGGACAACAACCTGGGATTGTCTCATCAGAGAAAGACATTGTCGATGTTCTGGGGTCCTTCGAATCAACTCCAAGGGGGTTCCGGAACCCACATAAAATTAGCTGGAAAGCGAGTCGGAGCGAGCCCTGGCCTCTGTCACGTTCGACCGGGTCCTCCGAAAAACCCAGTACTTCCCGGTGAATAGTTGGACCTCCAGTCGACCCCCCAAAATGGTGCGGCGACAGGAATGAATGTTCTTTTTTGGGACCTTTGATCCGACCCCCTAAATGGTGGTCTCTCGGCACTTCTGGTGGACTGGTAGTCTCCAAAGTCACAGCGCAGCCCAGTGTGCAGTTGCAAGAGGACACTTTTCCCGAGAACCGCGTGAGTGGCAAGAAACATTCCAAAACTGAAGGCAGGCAGTGCAGCGAGCGCAGATTCCATCTGGGTCTGCTTTTCTGCCAGCCCTCAGCGGAATAAGGCCACTGTCATACCCCTATTTGCGTATTTCCGTGTCAAAATCTCGGTGTCATTCAAACGTAACCTAAGTCCGGACACAAGAACGCCAGGACCCCTTTCAAGAGGCTCCATGACTTAGTGGGTGAAAGATGAATTGTCTGGCGAGAGAAAAAAACCTCTTTGCAACCCCTAACTGACGTGGTTCGACAACATTGACATCTAACCCCAGTTCAAAGCTCGATCCTTGAGTTTGAAGTCTCGGGGCCAAATCCGCGCGGAATGCCCAACCTCGCAGCTTTCCGAACGGGGCTTTTGATTGGACCCAACCCCTGTGCTTTCTTGTCTCGACCCTTCAGGGTCAAGGGAAGACCCCTTGGGTCTTCTTGAACTCTTAACCGGAAACTACTTTTCGGGTTTCCCGTTTCGTCACTGAGCTGCGCGGTACCCGGCAATATTGCGTGACAACCGCAGATAAGGGGAAACGACTGGAGCTTCTTGACCCTTCTCTTCCGGATTTGAAGGGGGACCAAACCCAGTGCTTCCAGGCAAGCAGGTCGGTGAATCACGCAGAATATGCCTATTCTTACACAACAAAATGGAGGCATTGGAGGCCCCAAGCATACAACTGAAAAATGTGTATATATATATATACATATGTATGGTACCCCCCCTCCCCCCCATGGACCCTGGTTTGGTGCGTTTGACCTGTATTTTCCAGTGTGTGATGCCTTTGTTTTTTCGCTTCTTGGATTTTGTGTCAAAATTAGCGGGGGTGCCATATGAATATATGGTATGCATGCATGCATACAGATGTGATACAGCAATGACATCAGCATCTGCAAACTGAAAGAATTTGAATGCATCCGAGGGTATAAGACAAATCAGATTTTATTTTCTTAAAACATTTCTGGATTCAGGATTCAAGAATCTGAGGAAATATTTTCTGCGAATCTTGAATGTTGAGCCCCATTCTTTTAAAGAACGGGTTTGCCTTCGGCTTGTACTAGAAGTGGTCAAATCCAATTTGGCCCAAAAGGGTTCCCTTCCACCAGGGTCAGGGAACCACTAAGGAAAAAGCATGTTGCTTGGATGCTACCCTTCCGCCTAACGAGGAACCCCCCAGGTTCCATGTTAGATGAGAGGGGTTGCCCGGGCGTGTTTGTCACAATACTCTGTGTTCAATGAGATTCTCGGAAAAGTTTTCCGTGAAACATTTCAAGGTGAAGCACGTTCGAGGTGTTAGAACAACTTGAACATTTTAGGGGTTGACCAGGATGTTTATGCACTCCTCAGACTTGAATCCTCAATCCAGTGGTGCAGCACTTTCCAGTGTTGGAAAAACTTGAATGTTGTTTGAGCTTGGCCAGGATTGACAATTCTCAGGAAAGCTTGCTGTGTAATCTTCAATCTTGAATCTTCCATCCAGTGGTGAAATATTTTCAAGTGCTTAGCGATCCAGTGGAACCACTTTCAAGTTATTAGTTAGACACACTTTCAAGTGCTTTTGGTGAGCTTCATGTCAGGTATGCTCATGTTGACCCTTTTCCACAAGGTAAACAAAGGTAGGTGAAATGCTCAAAAGCACTGTGTTTTCCATTATTTATGAAGACGCGCAAGATCATTAGGGGTACTATATATGTGTGCGTATGTATGCGTGTATATATATATATAGATATGCATGATGTATGCACACCGTCACCACCACCCCCTCTAGAACCACCTGTCCACATTTGCTCATGGACGACCTCCACCTTTTGAGATAGAATATTTTGTTTTCCTGTGCAAATAGAACTGATTCAGCTAGAATCCCTGTTTCGACATAGTTTTAAAATGTGAACTCTCCTCCCTTGAAATTTCCTTTTGGAACACCGTCTAACAAGTTCAATGTCGGACCTTTCTTGTGCTGCAAAAAAGGCAGAATGTAAATAACACAAATCGTGTTTCGAATTGCCTTGTAAAAAGTCCCTTAAATGTTTAGCCATATTTGCTATGAATTATTTTTGAGAAGTAGTCTCTATTTAGCAATTTTCAAAAGCTACTTGAATTGTTTTCGTATTAGATTATATTTAGCACTTAGACTATATATTTGGGAATCAACTCCTATCTAACTTCTGTTCTTGAACATTAGTTGCAGTTTACCCGAAAGTATATTTACATTTTCATGTAGCTCCTATTTGGCAGGAAATTCCTTATTTGAGCTGTCATTGAAAATTTCCAATTCTAGTTGAAGTAAAATCTATTTGGAAAGGGCATCATACAGGAACATTATGGAGGACTCCGGGCTCCAAATTAACAGGCTTTGGGGACCCACAATTGAGATTTGCCATCCCCAAAAGCCAGTAAAACCAGGGTCCATGGCGTTTAAGAGTTGCTTGGGGCTGCACTTCGGAGCCCATGGGCGGGTTTCGGGGTGGGGGAGTGGTGGGCGGGGGGGGGGGGTGTGTGTTGCTTTTGCTTCGCATGTTGACCCTGTAACATCCATTACCATTTTGGCTCAAGGCCCGTCTCTTGCATAATAGGGAACGCAGTACTCATTCTGCAGATTGTGGAGCGGAGCGGGTTTTCCGCAGAGATCCATACACAATGTCATCCGATGGAGAAGGCTTCGTGGAAGCCTATTCAAGTGTTGGCCGATCATCCGGCTACACTGAAGAGACGCCCAACTTATCGATGACCGCCAAGCAGCCGCCATCGTACGACCGAAAAGTCAGCTGGTTTAGATATGAAGAACTTGTAGATGATTGGGTGACCTTCACCACCATCGAGGCATCCAAAAGAGGACCCCTCCTCAAGAGCCGTCTCACTGGAGACGCTCACATGTACAAGGCAGTCCTCCAGAATGACCTCTTGCAAGATCCTGACGAAGGAGTCAACTACTTTAAGAACACTGAAGAAGTTCTTCCTGAAGGGGTCGACCAACGTGTACTTATACAGACTTCTCAGTTTCTTCAATCACAGAAGGCAGAACACCGAGTTCCTCATATTCACATCCATACCCGAAACCCCCTCGAGGACGAAGAAGGACTGGAAGGTTTCATGTCAACCAACGATGAAGAGACATTTTGGGCATTGGAGGAGAACGATGCGTTCATTGCAAGAAATGTGTCTGGGCGGAATTTCAGATTCAAGAAGAGAAAAGGAAAAGGAAAATCAACAAGCAAAAAGGGCAGTCACCAACGAGGTGGCTTCAAACCCTTTCGAAAAGGTAGCTCTGGCGGGAAGGCCAGTTATCGGGATCCCTACGACCAGGCATATTGGGGAAAAGGCACAGGAAAGAAGGGAAAGAAGGGAAAATCAAAATTCCAATATCCCTATGATGGAAACAAAGGTTGTCCATCCTATGATGATGGCAAAGGAAAAGGCGGACAAGCAAAAGGGAAATCCAAAACGTTCGCAGCCATCGCAGAGAAGACGGAGGAGCAGCCCGCCATCCAGCAGACTGCACCATCCACAGAGCCCACCTATGCCGGTTGGACAGATCAAGATTGGGATCCATCTTGGAATTGGAGTGAACAAGACTGGTGCTCATCCCATGAGACATCCAGCACAGGACAAGCGATGATGGCATTCCATGACGCATATGAGCAGCATGAGAAGGACGCCATCCACGAGAAGCTGATCCAATCCGATACAGTTTCAGAGCAGACAATGACAGGTCAAAGCCTTTTGGCAACAAAGCTGATGGCGCCTGTCATCAACCCACAGCACAATCCGACCTATGCGATCCTGGACAATGGCCATGGGCAGCTGGCATGCAATCCAGCGTTTTACTCAGGCCATCGAACCCATGAAAGACCACATCTCGTATCAGTACATCCTGGCTGAGACCAAGATCACATGTAAGGCTTTTGGCATGAACCGTCAAGCAGTTCCAGTATCCGGTACAGGACATGCACTCGTCGATCTTGCTGGAGTAGCAACTACGTTTACGATGATGACAACAGCATCCATTTCCCCTCGAGGGAACACTCAGGGAGTGAACAAATCTGTGCATCCAAGGAATACGAGGCGAAGGAAGAGAGAGCGACTCCAAAAACTATTGGTTCTCTCAAGCAGGATCACTGGATATTAGACAAGAAGAACAAGCAGCTCATCCGCGTGCACATTACGCCTCGCAAAGTGTTGTTCACACCAACGGAAGCGAAAGAGTGTCCAGTTAATCCTGACAACATCAGCCGGGAGCGTACCACAGAAATCATTGATGCATCCAAAGGTGGAGATCCAGAAATCCTTGAAGACAATTGGAGACTTACATCCCAGGCGAACAAACCATTGATCAACCTGTGGAAGGGTAAGACAATTTTCACCTTCGGGGACGATTCGCTGAAAGACAAAGAATCCGGTTCAGGATCGGCAGCAGACAGGATCATCGACAAGAAGGGCCAGTCGACTATTGAGCCAGATCCTGCAACGCCATCCAAGGAAGAACCCACTTCACTTCCGCTTGCCTTAGGCAGAATTCATCAGCGATTGTCCAAACCAGAAGAGCTGAAAAAGCTCCACCTGCAGCATCATCATATGACTACAGACCAATTTCGATTCAGGACTCGTGCGCTTCACTTGCCAAAATCAATCTACGATCTATTTGACAGAATCCGAAGTGAATGTGAAGTTTGCCAAGCAGCAAAACATGCACCATCACGAAGCAAGACGAGTGGACTTCGAGCGGACACATTCGAAGACATGACATTCATTGATCACTGGAGGAATTGGA